CCCTCGCAGCCTTTTCTCTTCGGCCTCGGAGCCCGCAGCGGCCGGGGACGCGCGCGGCCGTCACGTGACTGCCCGGCGCGTCGCGGGGGCGGGGCCGCGCGGGGCGGAAGCAGCTCCTGGCACCCGCGAGCTCGCGCCGTGCTTCCCCGCCCTCCTTCCCCACGCTCCGCCCCTAGCGCGCGCCGCTGCGCGGCTCTCTGCTGCCGCCCGGCCTGCAATTTCGTCGCCTGGTTCTTATACTTCGTTTTACTTGTCTTAGGGGCAGAAGGTTCTGAAAGAGGACTGATCCACAGAGTTTTGGGGTGGAGGAGGTAAAACGCGTGTAGGACCAGCAAGTGGTGCTGTTCAGAAATCTAACGCTGAGACCCAAAAGAAGCCCTTGGGCGCCTGGCTGAATTTCAATCTGAAGAGCTCTTAGCTAAAGTAGGAAAGAAATGTGAGGGGCAGGAAATAGAGTGGAGTCCTCCAGGACCTCTCAATATATTGTCCTTCTAAATAGTTGAGCAATTTAATTAGTAAAAAACACTGCTTTTGGATCCATTTTTCTTAACTGAAAGGCAGAATAACCTACAAGAAGCTGGAGAAAGAAATTAATAGGCCTGAGAATTTAAAATGAAAGAAAATGGGTTATTTTGACTTGCAAGCGTGTGGTTTTACACATCAAACTAGCAGTATTCTTCATTTGATATGTACTGTACGTTGCGACTCAATTTTCTTAATTTGAACTAAAATGAGGAGGGTGAAAGAGCAAGTCTCTTACCTTCAGAAGTGGCCTGCCTGTATGATTTCAGTATTCCATGGCAATATCTTCGTATCTGCAATGATGTTGCATTTTGAGATTTCATTAACTGTTTCAGGGCTAGAAATTTGCCTATCTTTATTCTCTTCTTAACTCAGTTTTACTCCTCTATCCCACACAACCCCCAAAAAGGTAATGGCAAAATCTCTTCAAGATTCCAACTTGGAGAGTTAATACTAATTAACAGGATGCTAGACATTGTTCGAATGCATTATACATACAAGCTCATCTGCACAATAAACTGAAGTGAGTATTGATGTTATTCCTGTATTACAGAATCAGGCACATAACTGGGATTTCAATTCAGGCAGAGACCGTAAGAATTCACCTAGTTGAATTCTTCATTTTACCAATTAAAAAAATACATACATATGTGTGTGTGTATGTGTATATATATATATATATATATATTTATAGCAAAGTTAAATGACTTGGTTGAAGACCTTGTTCCTGAGAAAGCTGGGTCTGGAACATGGATGTATATGTAGCAGAAAGAAGTGTGTTTTCTTGTACGTAAATACATTTTAGCACTTCTTCAGTTGCTCTAGAGGCATATTAAGAATGGGTTCTCTAAATTAATGTTATAGGTTATAGTCTGTCTATCTTTTCATTAGCACACAACAAAATTAAGTCAAGGGCGCTACAATTAGAATGCTCTTTATTGCTTCAAATGCTCTCTAAGCCACATTTGCAATCTTTGCCATTTCAGTAAATGTCTCTGCTAGACTTCAGTTGCCTCCACCCCTAAAATTCGTATGTTGGGACTTCAGTGTATTGTAAAGGTATGTAAAAATTCTCCTTCATGGTATCCCAGGGTGAGACCTTTGGGTGTGATAAGATCATTAGGACAGGGGCCCCCACTAATTGCATTCTGGTGTGTACATAATCAGAGGGAATGAGAGAAATTCATGGATACACACCGTGCTCTGCTCTGCTAAAAATTCTGACTTCCTCCTTTTGTGATGCCTTTGGACCTTCTCGGCACCAGAATTGTGAGCTTTTCAAATAAATCTCTATTTTCTTTATAAATCACCCAGTTTTAGGTGTTTCTGTTAGCAATAAAAAAACAGACTAAGACCGGTTCTAACTTTCCTTGTCCAAACCGATTTTAGTTTCTCTCATTCTCTTATGTTCCATGTCCATTTTGCAAATAAATTACTACCTCTTCCTTCAAAATATATTTAGAGTCGGACTATTTACCACCTCTACTACAATATACCTAAATGCTTATTTGGATTTTTTTTTTTAAGGTTTTGCCATAGGGTGTGTGTGCTCACAGGACAGCGTCAGAGAGAGGGAAAGTGAGAAATCACACTCCAAAGGGATGGCCGTGCCACAATCCCCCCTCTTCTATTCTCCTCTTTACTCAATTTTCTTAATTTGAACTAAAATGAGGAGGGTGAAAGAGCAAGTCTCTTACCTTCAGAAGTGGCCTGCCTGTATGATTTCAGTATTCCATGGCAATATCTTCGTATCTGCAATGATGTTGCATTTTGAGATTTCATTAACTGTTTCAGGGCTAGAAATTTGCCTATCTTTATTCTCTTCTTAACTCAGTTTTACTCCTCTATCCCACACAACCCCCAAAAAGGTAATGGCAAAATCTCTTCAAGATTCCAACTTGGAGAGTTAATACTAATTAACAGGATGCTAGACATTGTTCGAATGCATTATACATACAAGCTCATCTGCACAATAAACTGAAGTGAGTATTGATGTTATTCCTGTATTACAGAATCAGGCACATAACTGGGATTTCAATTCAGGCAGAGACCGTAAGAATTCACCTAGTTGAATTCTTCATTTTACCAATTAAAAAAATACATACATATGTGTGTGTGTATGTGTATATATATATATATATATATATTTATAGCAAAGTTAAATGACTTGGTTGAAGACCTTGTTCAAGAGAAAGCTGGGTCTGGAACATGGATGTATATGTAGCAGAAAGAAGTGTGTTTTCTTGTACGTAAATACATTTTAGCACTTCTTCAGTTGCTCTAGAGGCATATTAAGAATGGGTTCTCTAAATTAATGTTATAGGTTATAGTCTGTCTATCTTTTCATTAGCACACAACAAAATTAAGTCAAGGGCGCTACAATTAGAATGCTCTTTATTGCTTCAAATGCTCTCTAAGCCACATTTGCAATCTTTGCCATTTCAGTAAATGTCTCTGCTAGACTTCAGTTGCCTCCACCCCTAAAATTCGTATGTTGGGACTTCAGTGTATTGTAAAGGTATGTAAAAATTCTCCTTCATGGTATCCCAGGGTGAGACCTTTGGGTGTGATAAGATCATTAGGACAGGGGCCCCCACTAATTGCATTCTGGTGTGTACATAATCAGAGGGAATGAGAGAAATTCATGGATACACACCGTGCTCTGCTCTGCTAAAAATTCTGACTTCCTCCTTTTGTGATGCCTTTGGACCTTCTCGGCACCAGAATTGTGAGCTTTTCAAATAAATCTCTATTTTCTTTATAAATCACCCAGTTTTAGGTGTTTCTGTTAGCAATAAAAAAACAGACTAAGACCGGTTCTAACTTTCCTTGTCCAAACCGATTTTAGTTTCTCTCATTCTCTTATGTTCCATGTCCATTTTGCAAATAAATTACTACCTCTTCCTTCAAAATATATTTAGAGTCGGACTATTTACCACCTCTACTACAATATACCTAAATGCTTATTTGGATTTTTTTTTTTAAGGTTTTGCCATAGGGTGTGTGTGCTCACAGGACAGCGTCAGAGAGAGGGAAAGTGAGAAATCACACTCCAAAGGGATGGCCGTGCCACAATCCCCCCTCTTCTATTCTCCTCTTTTGGATTTTGGGCACCTGTACACAAGTACCTGGGTGATTTTTAAATTACCAGATCCAGGTATCAAACAGCAATAGATATATGGGAGCCTAGCACCTAATCACCACTCCACCTGCTGACCCCTCTCTTTTTGGATATTTACAGTAGCCCTGGAATTGGTTCTCCTGTTTCTGTTCTTGTTCTTACTGTGTCTATTCTCAACATAGAAGCCAAAGTAAGCCTATTAAAAAGGAAGTAAAGGCCGGCCCATAGCACAGTGGTTAAGGGCTGTGCATAGGGGGCCAGATCTCATATGGCCACCAGCAGTGGCCTGAAAACATCAGACATGTATGTCCCAGATTCTTATGGAATGGAGAAATGGAGGGAAACGGGTTGCAATATGACCATGCCTTGAGTGTGGTGTGCTTTTTCTCTGTCTCTCTCACTGGTGAGCTCATACTTCTTCAGGCACTGAATAAAACCACCCCTCCTAAAAAATAGAGACAAGTAAGGACATACCATGCTGTTCAGTCTTTCCGTAATTCCTGATATGAAGCAAAATCCAAAGTCCTTACCATGGCTTTAAACACTCTCCTCATTTCTTCTCTGGCCTCATAGACTGTTGTTCACTCAGCCTTGTGTTCCTAGAAGGCTACACAAGCCCTCACCTTTATTGTCTTTGCAGCTGGTGTTTTTTCTGCTTAGAACACTCTTCCCCATGATAGCTTGCTCTGCCTTTACACAAATGTCATCTTCTCAGTTGTCTTCTCCTTGCCACTTTAAGTCACAATATTGATCATTCTTAATATTTCTTATTCCCTCACCCTTTACCTTTTCTCTCTGATATCTATCACAATGTTAATGGATGATTTACTCACCTTTATTATGTTTTTCTCTGCACTTGATCATAAGAAAGAGAGCAGAAATGTGTGTTCTGTTTTGATTTCCAACAGCCAGGAATGGTCCCTGACACATTTAGAGAGGCTCACTGAATGTGTTGGATGAATAACTATGCACATATAAGCAAACATGCACATATACACATTTATATACTGAATAAAAAATGAATGAAAATTAACTTCTTGTTTGTCACCAGTTGTACATGCAAAGAAGAACTAAATATATGGAATAGTATACACCCCACCTACACCAGCCACCTGAAAGAGAGAGTGATAAGTTTTTATCTTTAGGACAGCACCTCTCAGTATTGCTAGAAGTATTTTAGAAGTCATTGGTTTCTGGTAATTGGTAAGTACACAAACCTTCAAATTATTTACTTGAAGAAATAAATTAGAGCCTGACAGATTCAAGATATCTCTGTAATACTGTTGCTGTGGCTGGATTTCTATTTTGCTTCTTTGACTCAAAGACAAAAGAGTTGCAGCAGGTTCTCAGACTTGCCCATTATTTATAACCCACTGTCTATTTCCTACAAGTTGATAAGACACTTACAGGTACTACACATTTCCTTCCAGCACCCACTCTTCCCATCTTATCCTCCTAACGCCCCAGGTAATCCAATATTTTTTCTTTTACTGAAGGATAAAAATATTCTTTTTGCTTAGTTAATATCTGAAGATCATGAAAATGAGCATGAAAAAAAATACCCATCTTTTGAAAACCAGTGATGTAGCTACCTTATGGCAGTGACTTTCCAAGTGCTATCCAGTGAACCCTGGGGATTCTTGTGACTCTGACCGAGGATTTAAGAAGTAAAAATTATTTCCATGATAATATTATGACTAGTTGCCTTGTCTGCTTATACTGCCTCTCAAAAGTACAGTGGTATTTTCCAGAGGCTATATGATACCTGATATGATATATAATGTAGTAATAGGTTGGGTATTAAAGTATATATGAGAATTTGGTAATATGCATTAACCCAGGCATTAAAGAGATCTGCAAAATATAAAATAATGCCACTCTTCTAATTTAGTTATCTTTATTTGAAAAAATATAGTTATTTTTCATGAAACATTATTTATATACTTACATTAATACATAATGGTGCCATTATTTTTAGACAAATTCATAAATATTTTAAACAGTTCTCAATTTTAATTTCTGATTTGGTAAATAATGATGAATACATACAAACAGAAGTTATTAGAGGTCTTCCACAGTTTTTTTTTTTTTTGAGAGATTTTCACTGTAGGGCGCGTGAGCTCGCCAGACAGACAGAGAGAGACATAGAGACAGAAGGCGAGAAATCACCCCCCAGGGGGGATGGTCACGCCACAATCCCTTCTCCTCCATTCTCCTCTCGGGATCTTGGGCACGCACGCACACGCACCCGGCGTGAGTTTCAAGCCACCGGGTCTGGGACACGAACCGTGGTTGACTACGTGGGAGTCCAGCGACATAGCCATTACGCTAACTGCCGGTTCCCTCTTCCACAGTTTTTAAGGGTGTACAGGAATTTTGAGACCAAAAGGTTGGGATTACTGGTCTGGGGTCATTGGGTATATCAATCCAAAGCTAGATTTCCTTCCATGTGCTAGCATTCATGCTATAGCTGTACATACAACTTTGTCATATGTCTGGAAACAGAATGAACAAGACTCTGGAACATACTAATCATTATAGCTAGCAGATGAATAGAACAAAAATCAAGAGGAAGTTTTGGAAAGCAAAGTTTTTCATTTCAGTTGAAGAGTTTGTTCCAGTGCTAATACATAGCTTGATCTCTGCCTTACCATTTGATGTTCTACTTACAGTACTCAAAATGTGCTTTTCTGGTAAAACTCCTTTGTAAATAATAGTACATAAGCCAGTTTTGCTTGTATTTTTCTCTTACCTAATGGAATAATCAATGCTGTGTCTGTGGCTGGTTCTAGCCCCAAAAGTTACAACTGAACTATAACAATGTTTGCCCAGGAATAAGTGCAACATAAAACAGTCACTGAGACAAATTTTACTGTTTATGAAGTCAAACTGTAAAGTCAAACATGGCTTTCTGATCTCTCATTGTATATACATATGATTTGAATATTGAATATATATAGAATATTGAATATATATATTGAATATTGAATATATATATTGCATAAATATATACACACTTACAATTTGAATATTGAATATATACATATATATATATATAGATGGTGGCCACACTGCAATCCCTTCTGTTCCATTCTCCTCTTGGGAATTTGAGCAAGCACACACATGTACCCGGCATGAGTTTTAAGATGCCAGGTCCAGGATTTCAACTGCGGTCAACCACGGAGGTCTCCAACACCTTAACCATTATGCTGCCTGCTGGCTCCATCTGTACTGAATTTTAAATGCCTTATGTTGACAATACTAGCTATTAGGTCATCTCCAGTGCCCATAGTTGTTCAATTAGATGACACAACTTCTCATTGAATGTAAAATAGAAAGATAAGAATCAATTCTCTGTTTTATTTTTCAATAGAAGTTCTTTAAAACACAATTATTATTTTTAAAGAATTATTGTATTTATTACTATTATTATTATTTAATTTGACCAGAGATAGAGGGAAAGTGAGAAAGTAAGCCACCAGGTCTGCGACTCAAACTGTGGTCAGCCATGTGGGAGTCCAGTACCCTAACCACCACACCACCTGCTGGCCTCTAGATTATTATTTTAATACAATTGTCATTCAAATAATCTACCCTGTCATATAAATGAAATAACTTATCGCCCTCAAACAACAGCTATGTTTGGCCATGCCACATTTTTCTCAAAAAAGAGTAGGATTTGAAGAATCAATGTTAAGGGACCAGCAGTTAGCGTAATGGCTATGTTGCTGGACTCCCATGTAGTTGACCGCAGTTTGAGTCCCAGACCTGGTGGCTTAAACTCACGCCAGGCGCGTGTGCGTGCGTGCCCAAGATCCCAAGAGGAGAACGGAGGAGAAGGGATTGCGGCATGGCCATCCCATCCCCCCTGGGGGGTGATTTCTTGCTTTCTGTCTCTCTGTCTCTCTCTGTCTGGCGAGTGCACACACCCTATAGCAAAAACCTCTTCAAAAAAAGAAAAAAAAAGAATCAATGTTAAATGGTTTTATAATTATACACATTTGGGGTTTATTGATTTATGGAATTGTATGCATGAAAGTAAATTCAACCCAAGATAGCCTAGAAGCTTGAAACAGCTTCACAAAAATGTATCAGTTGGGATCGGTTCTGGAAAACAAAACCACCTCAAGTATTTCACACACAGGCAGTTTAATGCAGTGAATTGCTAGCAAAAGTATTGAGAAACTAGAGGAGCCAAAAAAGAAGAACAAGAACACCCCGAAATCAGTCGCTTAAGAATTCACCACCTCTTCTAAGCCTGGAGGAGCAGAGGATTTAAAATCCCTGGAGCCCCTGAGACTGCTGGGACACATTTTTAGGCTGTAATAAGAAGACAGTCTGGTATAGTCACTGAGGCTCCTGAAAAGTCCAGAAACTCATGGTTGCTAGCAGTCATCTACCCCTCTAATGCAGTATGAAGTCAGAAACAAGAAAAAAAATCACCTCTTCCTTCCCACTTCTTTTTGCATGTGAATGCCTCCCACTGGCAGAACAGAAAACCAGCTGTTAAAGAATTCTCAAAAATGACCTTTTTTCTAGCATCGTTAGATATAAAGCAAACTATGAAAGTGCCATTTAGGCATCAAGTATCTGGTTCACAAAGTCTGAAAATTTATTTACTATATTGCTTGAGATGATAGATACTCTGAAATATGGAAAGAAATAGAATAGTTGATTGCTTATTATTTTCTAAACACTTAACAAACTTCATTTTTTCACAGTAAGAATCCAGATCTGTGAATATCTTTAGTCCCTCTTACTGTGAGTTGGTTGAAACCTCAGAGTGGTTAGCAATGGTCACAAGCAGCCCAGAGTAGTATCAAGGTACACAGAGAGCCTGGCTGGGGAAGAGCATGGACACAATCCTGTAAAGGGGCAGTAAAGACACATTCAGTCCTGGGATCAGGAGTGTTGTGAACTAACTCGGTCATGCAATCTAACATCTCTAACCTTAGTTTTCCCACATGTAGCCAAAGAAAGGTAAATTACTACCTTTGTTACAGATTTAATATAAAGTATGAAACACTTAGCAAAGGTTAAAATCTTAGCAATTATCATTATATTATTTGACCTACCTCGAATCTTATGCTAGCTCTGTAATATCTCATTCAGTCTTCAAAAGTAGTAAGAATAGGGGCTGTTTAGTGGCACAGTGGTAAAATGGCACTCTATAAGGAACCACATGGAAGGTTCCAGATAAACTTCAACAGACCTCCCTGAGTACGTAGAGAATGAGTGTGCCCATGATTGAGGGCTGGCTGAAGTGAGGGGTGGAATTCCATGTCAAGAGCCTGTTGGAGGTGCTGTCTTTCTCACTCATGGAAGAAATAAGTAAGCTTAAAAAATAAAATAAAATAAAATAAAATAAAGAAGCATTAAGAGGGTCAGCCCGTGGTATGGTGGTTAAGGCAACTGGATCCCACATGGCAGAATCTGTGGTTTGAGTCCCAGACCTGGTGGCTTGACAATCACATTGGGCATGTATACATGTATCCCCAAGATCCCAGGAGGAGAATGGAGAAGCGATTGAGGCCTAACGATACCCCGCAGGGGGGTGATTTCTCACTTTCCCTCTCACTGTTTCTGTCTTTCTTTCTCCAGTGAGTGCACACACCTTATGGCAAAAACCCCTAAAAAAAGAAGAAAGAATAGAAAAGAAAAAACATACCAGTGCACATGCATGCGTGTATGTATGTGTGTGTGTTTGTGTGTGGTCAAAATCCTGAGAGAGAATGGAAGAGAAAGGTTTGCAGCATGGCCATCCTTCTTGGGGGATGATTTCTCATTGTCTCTCTCTCTCTCTCACTGGTAAATGCATGTGCCCTATGGCAAAACTAAAAAATAAATAAGACATAAAAGATGAAGCAATTATAGTAAGTGTCTATAATTTCATAAATTTTTGATGCTGTTACTTTTTGGTAAAAATTGATAAATTATTTTCTCAAGTGAAGTATTGGGCCAGCAGATGGTGTGCTGGTTGAGGTGTTGGACTCCCTAATGGCTGACGGTGGTTCAAGTCTCACATCTGATGGCTTGCTTTCTCACTTTCTCTTTCTCTTTCTCTCTGTCTTTCTGGTCAAGTTAAAAAGTAATAATAGGGAACCAGCAGTTAGCATAATGGCTATGTTGCTGGACTCCCACGTAGTCAACTGCGGTTCGCGTCCCGGACCCGGTGGCTTAAAACT